TGTGCCTCCGACGGGACAACCGCCCAGTTCACAACAGAGCTGCGAATGAGCTCTGAGATCCTACATGGAATGAAAGGGGAGGGAGGGATTGGACGGGACAGCTAATTGGAGCTTTTTCCGGAGGGGAGGGGGGACCTCACCGATTTCCTTGGTCTCGGACGACATGATGGGCAATACTGGTTGACTCGTTGGATTTAAAAAGGTGAAGGTGAAAGAAGAATTGCAAATGCAAATGCCGGGGAAGGGTGAATGAAAGAAAGCTTGAGCAAGTCAAGTCAGGTCTGGTCCGTCGCACGCGCACACACAAGAATCAGAATCCAATCCAATACGAATAGCGCCCAGTGTGGAATGGAGACTTGGAAGTGGGGTTTGAGCTGCGAGGGTTTCGACAACAGGGTTTGGTTTGTTCTACCTACCTTAATAAAAAGGTGCAGAGCCAGGTATTTAAGTTAGTGGAGGATAGAGCCTGGAGAGGCAGTATTTATTTATGACCTACCTTACTACACCTACTATCGACCGGATTCGGCGTCGGGTATTTGCCTACCTACCTAAGTACCTACCTACCTACCTACTTGCTTACCTACCTACCTGTAACTACTATACCTTACTTCATTGTCGTGGTTTGTTATGACTCTCCCCGACGTGTAATTGCATAACATATTTGGCCTCCTGTTGGCTCAGCTCATGCCATTCCTCGATGGCTCAACTGTAGATTACCTACCTGAGTTAGTATCAGCGAATAAATATCACTTAGTGTGGGCGTGTTTGTGTGCGCAAGCAGCCGCCACATGCTTGCAGACAGACACGGACGTCCATGAGGAATCCTTAATGGTCCAAGCCGACGATATTTACTTGGTAAGAAACGGTTGCTCTGATATGGGAGCCTGGATATGTGCTGTATTTCTCTACTTGTCCACTTTCTCATGTTGTTATAGCCACCGTTTTGGTGACACAATTCATTTATTTATGTAGTGTCACAATCCAGGCAGTCTTGGTAATGAGGGGCAATGAACACATCCATGCCACAAATCATGACTTCATCTGGCCAGCCCTGGGCTATTTCTATATTAGGTACCCTCCGTTGGCTACCTACCCTAAAGTTCCCAGGTCCCCACGCCCAGTAGCCACTCTCGAATTTGGTTTGCTGCTCCAGGGCGATTTATCAGGAGTATTACTGTGACTACTGAGCTTTGGTTACTAACTGTATTCATTTTCTTGGCTGTTCGTGAACCTTGTCACAAAAGGTCATTGACAGGCTTCTGAGTTTAAGGTTATGATGTTGACCTGGGTGATGTGCAGCTTATAATGGCTAACTCAAAGATAAACAACCTGTACGTGAAAATGTATACATATGGAATCTAAGTTAATAAGTTAACTTATCCTGCACAGGTACTGCAGGTAATTTGGCATCGTCATTTGATAGAATATTCAGAACACGGGGTATCCCAAGATATATCCGAGAAAAAGAAAAACAAGACAGACTACCTACGTACCTTACCTAATATGTACCTAAAGGGAATAAAGAGTAATAAGTAGGTACCTAGGTACTACAAGAAAGCACGCATAAGACATCACATCATCTTAACGACGAGCAACTCCATGTCGAGTCTCAACTTACCGAATTACAAGCCACACATAGATACAAGCAGATGTGGCGTAGCCGAGTCGAGATACTTCAATCTCCAAGGTAAATCATGCTCTAGGAATGTACAACTACATCCAGCCACAGGAGGCCCTGGCTGATCAAACTCCGGCCCCAGTCGCAGCGAGGCCCGGCAGAAATCCTCACGTCCCCCAGCCTGCACCAGCATTGGCGATCTACTGAACTTAACAAACCGTCAAGCCTAAGGTTATCGCCTCGCGCTTTTTAACCTTCAGCCTTTCACCCAACAACGCCGATTCCACCGGCCAAGGTCAACGCTCAGATAAGACATCCATCCAACTATCCGCCGCGTACTGAACACAAAAAGTTGTAAACTCTCGCTTGTTTCCTTTCCAACGCGGCAGTTCCGCTGCGCCGCGATCCGTGACCGCGACCCGCGCCCCCGTTACCGTCTGAACATGGCCGCTCAGCCCTCCGCGTCGACGTCTTCGGCGCCGGCCACGGGCTCGGCTGCCACAGGCGCAGATAAGGATGTGTCCTCCTCGAACTCCCCTAGTAATATGCCGGTGCGCACGAAGGAGTCCTTCGATAAACTCATGGTCGAGCGATACATCACCCGCGATGCCATCGCCGCCGCCGCGCTCGGCGGTCAGCTCGACCAGACACGCAGGATAATGAGCGATACGCGCGACAAGATCCAAGAATACCGCCAGGTCCGCACCGAGTATCGTCAATGGTTCCCCCCGTCGAGGCTCTACGGCGGGGGCTACAATGGCTTCGCCAATGGATACACAGAGAACCAAGGACCCTCACGAATCATCTATCCCTCCCAGAAGCCCCGACCTGGCCAACGAACGACGCCTCCCCTCAAGTACAAGCGCAAGGATATGCTGAAGCAGGCCGAGCAGCACGAGGAGCTGGTCCCGTTGCGCTTAGAGGTCGAATGGGATAAGATCAAGCTGCGCGATACTTTTACCTGGAATTTGCACGAGAGGCTACTCCAGGTCGAATTGTTCGCCGCGCAACTTGTCGAAGATATGGGCCTAAAGCCCCCCGCGTCTCAACCGGTATACGAGCAGGTTGTTCATCAAATGCGAGAGCAGCTCAATGACTTCTACCCGCTGGTGTATTCAGAAGATGATGCGCTTGACCCCGAGCTCCCCTATTCAGCATACAAAAACGACGAGATGCGAATCCTCGTCAAGCTGAATATTACGATTGGCCAGCATACCCTTGTTGACCAGTTCGAATGGGAAATCAATAACCCGTCCAACTCGCCAGAGGACTTTGCTGCCAACATGGCTCGGGATCTGTCCCTATCTGGCGAATTTACAACCGCCATCGCACACTGTATTCGAGAGCAGACGCAACTCTTTACCAGGAGTCTATACAGCGTTGGCCATCCGTTCGATGGTCGACCAGTCGAAGACCCTGATCTCGTCGGCGCATTCCTCCAGACGCCTCTGCCCACTGTCTTCCGACCGCAGCAGCAGGCCAAGGAATACGCACCATATCTCTACGAACTCAGCGAAGCAGATCTGGAGCGGAACGAGACGATATTCTCCCGCGAGCAGCGTCGCCAGAAGCGATCGATCAACAGAAGAGGAGGTCCCCAGCTGCCCGATCTTAGAGAGCGGCAAAGAACCATTCGAACGTTGGTCGTCTCTTCTGTTTTGCCTGGGGCTGCAGCTACCATCGACGAGAGTAGACTCTACAAACGGGCTGCTGGACCCAGGGCGAAGCGCGTTGTACGTGATGGAGAGATCTCAGATTCGGATGATAGCGACGATTCAGCTCCTGATTCACCCGCCCCCTCACAAATCACGGGTGGTACTGCTCGAACACGAGGTATGCGCGGTGCTGCATCTGCAGCTCAGCAAAGAATGGCCAACCTGGGCCGGTCTGAAACCCCTGAATCGAGTGCCATTACACATCACCACGAGACTAGGACCTCCCGCCGGTTCAGAGAGGAAACAGAGGAGCCCTTGCAGTTGATCGTGATACTCAAGTTGTCCCGCGACAAGCTGAGGCGGTTGATGAACCGCGACTACTCAGACTTGAGGCCGCCATCTCAGACACCAGTGTCCTTCCCACGAGCACCCAGCGCCTCCACCCCCTCAAGATCCATGCCACCGCCACCTTCGACCCCGTCCAGCGCTATGCCTCACGCTTCAGCAACTCCATCCTCGTCCCTTCCGCCAGGTCAACTTGGCCGGCTACCGGCCCCTCCGACAGTTCCTGGACAGTCTTCTCACATGCCATCAGTAGGTCACCAAGCCTTTGAATAATACGCACACCGACAGTGGTACTGACTGCAATGCTTCTCCAGCCCCCGGCCCCGGAATGGCTTGTCAATGCCCTCAAGGATTTAGAGAAGACCTATAACCGTGGCGACAGGTTCGAGGCCACGATGAAATACTCCTTTCTGCACCCCGTGACAGAGCTACCTATCCAAGGCCAGCCTCTGCCCGAGGGTGTTAAATATGCCTGGCTCCCGCGTATCCGCTGCCTGGACTGTACAACTAAGCTCTATACACCTGGCCCAGATATGACGGTCAAGAAGTTTGAGACCCATCTCGATTTTTCAGGGCACAAGAATGCTGTTGCTAAGCGCGTGGCGAGAGAGGCAAATCCTTGAGTTTCCGATTTATTATGAGGGCGCTTCTCAAGCAGCATGTGTAACAGAGGTTTCGCCACTGTAAAACAACAACAACAAAAACGTATACCTTACTGCTAGGCCTTGTTGTCTTGGGCTGCATCTTGCTCGATGACAGAAGGGGCGTTCTTGGTTCTTTGCAAATTTACTTGGCCTTAGGATTTTCACTTTCAAAGACAGAGTATGTGACTGGTGGACTTTCATCATTGTTTTGTACATAAAGCCTCGAGTTCTGTGAGCATAGAAGGAATGACGGGGTCATGAGGAACCGACGAAACGAATAGCTGTCTCCCCGTCCTCAGGTTGATCTAATATTCATTTTGGAGTCTATGGGAGAACTGGGCGCTGTACAACTGGGCTAGGACACGGAGTGTAATATCAATATCAGAGCGTTTGCTTGCTTGTTTCTCATGCTTGACATGTATAGCTATGACTGGCCTTTTAGGTACATATAACATGCAGGGTCACTCATGACTTGTAAATCGAGATTGAGATGTCTTGAAAACGAAATGCTATTGCTCGAGTCCCGTATGAGAGGGTATACGACATGACAATTACCCACAAACCAAAGACTCCCTTCCCTGTATGATAGAAGTCAAACGGACTCCACGAATCCCATCAGCTTTGTCACCACTCTTGTATCTATATAAGAGAGAAGATCAGACCCAACAATAATAGAAGAGGCATGATTTCAAGATATTGGCATACTGTAATCCCAACCATGATACTTGGGCCCCTTGATTACTCATCAGTATCAATTTCCATATCGTCTGTGCCCTTGCCTCGTCGTGTCCTCGTCGACCTTGTTGATCGTTTTACCTCTGCAAGAACACTAGCCTTGACAGCTGGCTTAGACGCACCCCTGCTCTTCAGTGCCGGAGCTGTGTTTCTTCCGTTGGATTGGGCTTCTTCGGGCTTATCCGCTTCCGGCTCCAGAGGCTCGTCGTTGTCCGATGCCTTATTACTATCGCCATTTTCATCTTCCTCTGGGGGAGCATCCGAAAGCTCTGATTCATCGTCGCCTGAACTAGCCTCGCCACCTTCACTATCATTCTCTGGATATTCCCAGTCGGCCACGCCCTCCAGCATTTCCTCCTCGTCTTCCTCGTCTTCTCGCTCTGTATAGACAGACACCTTATGAGCTCTACCACTGCGACGACGTTCTGAAGGCGGTGGTGTGTCTTTGACTGGCTTGGATTTCCTAGCTTTCGAGACCTTTTTGGGCCTGCTATCACGCTTCTCTCGGATGACTGTCTTGATTTGAGTTCTCGCCCTCTTTGCTGGAGGATCCTGCTTTTCTCCCGTTGATTTTCGTTTCTGTGATCAATCATTAGAAGTAATCTCCTTAGGGACTAGGGAGCACAAACCTTCTTGCGATCGGCAGCTTTGAGCAGTTCGTCCAACTTCTCGTCCAGCTCTTCAGGTATATATTGCTTCTGCGCAATCTCATGGGCAACACTACTCGAGGGCAAGCTTTGCACAAGACCGTTTGGCAGGCCAACATTGCCGGAATAAGCCTGGAAAACCCAGTTCTTCCTCTCTTGCCACTTGCGTGTGACTGCCATTGCAATATCAGCCAGCACGTACATCCGCTCGCTAGCCTCGGGGTTCAGTGCATCGCGCGTTTGCTTGACACGCTCAGCGTACTTGTAGATCAATGAAATGTTCTCTTCTGTCGCACAAGTATTAAGATAAAAAACGAAATAGTTGGCGAAATCAGCCAGGTCATCAACGTCAGAGCTGTAGTCAGGATGGTGAGCGAGTAGAGGAATGAAACGGCTCATCATGGCCTCGAGTACGTGAGTCTTGTTTTGAGCAAAGAGTCGTGCTCTGGATCTCAACCAGGTTTCTACCCGGCTTTTGAGTTCTGCTGCTGGCTCGAAAGCAGCCAAGAAGAGCATTGTGTAAAATCTTGCCCGTAATCTTCCCTGAGTGATGTAGCTTTGTAATTTCTCCATGAAATGTCGACGAACCTCAAGTTCCGTGTCTTGCACGAGCTCTGCAAGCTTGTTGAAACTAGCGGGATCAAACTCGTCGTCGTACTTTTTGACAGTACATAGTTTCAGGATCAGAATTCCAGCAAGAAGTCTGAGTCGTTTTTTGTGAGCCAATGGAGTATCCTTGACTTTGCAAAACTCTCCTTCTTGTACCACAAATTCTTTCAGGAGTTTAAAGACCAGTTTCACTCGAGTCAGGGAGTCATCGTCGTCCTGATTGGCAAGCGCTTGATTGACCAGCGTCTTCATGGCAAGGCATTTCGCTTGTAGTTCCTCATTCAGGTCCTCATCCTCGACCCATGAAACCTCAGGGTTTTTGTCATCGGTACGTACTTGACGCAGAATCTGCTTGATCGTCAGGTCGTTGATTGTCTCATCAAAGTCCAGAGTTACTGTTGGTGCTAGGCGCTCAAGCTGGCTGACTGCAGCCAATCTCGTCAAGAAATGCGGCGAGCCATACTTGAAGTCCTTCATGATTCTTTGCAGAAGAGCAGTGGCAGTAACTTTACTCTTGTCATCGTTCTTAGCAAGCAGAATGTTGACTGCATACTTGGCACTCCTGGCAGGAACACCGCATAAGGCGTAATCCATAAGAACCTGTATGAACTTCTTGTCATAGGTAATTTCCTGGGGATATCTTTTGGAATAGGACGAGTATGCCTTGAGAATATCCACCATGGCGGGCTCGTTAGGCTGGCTGCCTGACGGTGCTTGACTGATGATCTCCTTTCTGAGATTGTCCGAATGAGCCTTGAAAAGCGCAGGATTTCGCTGTGATATATCATTTAAGATCTCATGGGCAATTGTAGAGAATCCAGCTTTGTCATTCTTGGAGTAGTCCATAATCGTAGACAAGTGACTCCGATTGTACATCAAAGAGCCGGCCCGGTAAATTAGAGGGATGAGGGTATCCAAACAGCTCGCCGACCCTGAGTTACTTTGGACCTTGGCAATCAACTCCTTAATGGCTCTTCGAACATGGAGATATTCGGTATCGGATGCGATAATGAACTTGAGAAGCTGGTAACAACGACGATCGTTGAGTTTTGCGAACTTCTGGAGATCGTTACGGACCTTGAGCGGATCCGGGAAAAACGCACAGAACCACTGGAAGGTCTTGCTCAAGGCGGCTTTGACCTTTTCCTCGTTCGCATTGATCACCCCACCGTTATAGGCTTCGCACTGTTGAATCAACACTTCAACTCCCTTGGCAACTTGGGGCTGACGGGCTTGCATAATGAAAAAAGCCCTCTTGGCCGACGCATCCAGTGACTTAAGCAACAGTAGGATCCTCTCTGCGCGAATCTTGTCCTGATCTGACTGGCTATTGGCCGTCTGTGACTGAGAGGCCGCCTTTGATTTTGCGCCTTTTATGAAGGGATACTTCAAAGGGACCAAACACTCGAACATGACCCGTTCAAGAAGAATGATGAGATCCTCATCGCCGACATACCACACATTGAGGATACGGGAAGGCACACCGCCTAAGCAGGATATGACAGCCTCTTGCCCATCGGCAATCTCTCCAGCACCAACTGACCACAACTTTGCCAGTAGAACCATGGCTTCAACACGTACGGCAGGCTTCTTATCACGAGATCGATCCGCCAAACTGGCAAATATTGAGCCAGTCTTCTCTACACCTCCGAGAGCTCCAAGTTTCAGAACGATGTCACGGAAGTCGAACAGCTCGACTGCCTGCACTGCAGCCAACCGAACTTTTTCTTCGCTGTCATTGAGCTTTTCGTAGAGTGCCTTGATGAGCTCATTCTCCTCCTCACGGCTGAGACCAATGCCCCCTGCAGACGTGGCCAATATATAACCGGCAGCAGAGATCCAGGCCGCACGAATGATGGCGGCCTTATCGTTCTTTCTCCCAACGAAGTTGCGATAGGCGGCATGATGTGTTTGAGCAAAAGATTGAGGAGAATAAGGTTTTGTCAAGACGTTCTCGACGGCTGGGGGAGTATCGTCCAGTAATTTTATGGGTGGATAAGCCGCTGGTTCCAACGAAGGAGGAGGTGGTGGTCCTGCTGCGCCAATACCTGAAACCATATCACCAATCGTCTCTGTGGCGATTTGACGAAGATGCACATTATCGGCTGAAAGCTCAGCATCGAGCTGGGGTACCACATTGGAAAGAACTGTAGGGGCGGCTCGCCACAGTTCGCGGATGAGTAGATGGGCTTGACGGAGACTCCTCAGATCTGCCTCTGATGGGCCAAGAGTCCCGTCTTCATCATCAGAATCATCCGGATGTCGCTGCACATTGGATTTCGTAGCGAAGCCGGAGGCGTTAAGGATAACGTCACTGAAGTATTGACTTACGTAACGTGCCATTTTGTCGGAACACCCATTGCATATATTTTTCGCCATGACATATGCTGGTGGTTCTTCCTTGATAAGAAGAGTGGATTGATTCCCGTTCTGTCCTTTATGTCGACTTCCACCGGGGGGGGCAGCTCTCAGAAACTGACTGATAATCGCGTCGACAACAGAAGCTGACACACTCTCGGCCTCGTCAATCAACTGCATTAGCATTTCTGTCAGGTGAATCTCAACATCTTTAGCGACCTGTTCCTCAGACGCTGCTCTAGAACCAGACGCCGACACTCCGTCAAATGTGCTGTTAAAGAGCCTTAACAGTAAATCGTCAGCATTTGAGATTTGGTGGAGGAGCAAAATACTCTTGACTTCCGTAAGAGATGCCAAAACGTATTTGTGCTGGCTGTCATATGGATTTGTGGGATCGTGCAGAGCCGGTAGGATATCCTTGATGAACAAGGTGAATATCATCTGGCGCATGTTAGCATGGTACAGGTACAGATGGAAAATCATGCCGAACACACTTTGATTTGGTCGTCAGTAAAAGGAGCATCGGGAACAAAGAGTCGAAGAATGTCGACTAGGCAGCATGCTGTGTATGCCTTGACACCGCCATCCTTGTGCTGTAGTAGGTTACGGTGTCCTAATTGTTTGGCCACATGCTGGATGGAATCTAGGTCGGCGGCGCCTTGATCGAGATCGGAGAGTTCCTTGGATAATTTATCGAGTCGTTTTATCAGAGTGCTCGTAGGAATTGGCTTGGCGGGTTTCCAGGAAATTTCTTCGTCGAAAGTCAAGCTGCGCTGCTCGCCCTCCTCCTCATTCTCCGAGTCATGATCGCGCTCTTCGCGTTGTTCTTCTTCGTGGTCTTGCTCGTCTTCCCGCTCAACGACTTGCTCCTCTTCCTCCTCCTCCACTTGAGCAGGCTTTTCGACGCGCCGACGACGCGCCATCATGCGCTATACAAAATGCGCCGATTGAAGGCTTCTCTTGAAGGAGCTGGAGGGCGTAGGAGCGAACCCAACAATAATGCTTCGGCTGACGGCGTGTTTGTGACTATTTGGGCTGGTACGAAATTTGGGGTGCGTATTGGTCCTAACACTGCATCGCATGCGCTTGCTGTACCTAAGACCTGAACGCTGCAATACCAGCACCGTTGGGGATAGCGCCAGTATAGTAATTTCAGAGCGATGGAGTTGGTCAACGTAAAGACAGCAAAGTCTCAAGGGCGACGATAAATTAAAGGCTAGACACGTAGTATGAGAGATGTTCTTGTGATAAGCGGAGGCGTGTTCCGTGCGCGCGACGCGACCTTACTTTTGGTTTTGGACGTTAGCCACTCCACCTCCACTTCACTTCGATGGGGGGGCGGATGTTGGCAGGGTTGGGCGGGTGGGTGGGGAGGTAGGCTAGGGGAGGAAAGAAAACTGAGGACCTTGATACCAGATGACAAAAAGACTTAGGCAGCTTTAGCCTAAACTTAGGGCACTCCTCACTTAAGTTTATTTTAGCATCCTATCCTAAAGTCTTATGTTCTCTTACTCCCTGAAGATAAAGTAAGTAAGTAAATAGCGGTAGATAGCCAAGCAGCATGAACAGGAGCTTCCTTGACCAAGCTACCAGAACCTACTGAGCTAGGTAAGGTACAGGGTAGGTACCTATACCTTAGTACTCCGTTAGTAGGTAATTGAGTCACTGCCTGAACAGCCCGGGAAGTTGCCTCACCAATAAGATACGCCCTTGATGTTTATGCTTCTACTCTATACCTACTGTGTTCATACTTACTTACCAGCCACATAAACTCTAGCCCAAGTCTCTCCCTTTTTTCGATTTTTTTCTTCTCGAACACAATTGCATGACTATTGAACCCCCTTTCGACAATCTGGAACGTCATTGTTAGTTTATGTATTGACTGAGACGGGGAGTTAGCTCCGATCTGGAGCTTTACACTGAGACACTAATTTGTTCTTCTCATGATCGCCTATTCATCCTTTGCTAGAGTGCTCCCCCTATCTTGGAGATAGATATACCTAGCTTTAACTAAAACCTCCATTGTGAGCTACCAGGGGTTTCACATCTGGTCATGGCTCCTAGTTGGGGATTATGTAGCCCACGGCGTCTGACAGTTAAGTGTCGTTCGGGAATCGTGGGGGATACCATATTCAGGCATAGGTACTTCTAGATATGTATACATTTAACTGCCTCCTAACTTACCCACTGCCAAGATAATCGAACTCCACGTTGGTAATTGAAGTCAATGCGGATGACCCATGGACAGAGATATGTCAAGGTCCCAAGTGAACGGCTCTTAAGTGAGAGTTGAGAGATAGCAACATCATGAGCACTACCTGTATTACCTTGTCATCACATATTTATCTTCGTATCTAGAAGCTCATCAATTAACCGATGTTCTCAACTCGGCTGGTTCTGCTGGTACGTACATGCACGGCATTGGATACAACCTAGTGTTGCAAACACGGTGATACCTCGAATCGTTGCAACAGAGCCGTTTATGTACGACCATGGTATGTTTGCTTCATTTCACCGTGAGGCGAATCTGACACACAGAGCCTCCATTGTGAGGTTTCATGCTAGAAAGTTCCCTTGTGGTTTCGGCTTGGAGCAATTTAGGATAGATGTCTGTTGCACAAGTTTGGCCGCATCGTTTGCCGTATGTCGAATCATTTTGCTAGCCTGTAAGTGGCAGCCCACGGGATAATTAACTTGTACTCGCCTATGAAAGGGGATCTTACGCGGATGGAAATGGAAGATATTGTTGCGTGGGTTATCCCCATTGCCTGTAGTGCTTTGGCGGCAAGCTGCTGAGTACAAGTTGAGCCGTTGCCCCTTTAGAAGATGAATGCGACCTCCTTTCCTTTCCTCTTATTTCATGCCTCTTCTCCCTCTAAAACAGCCTGGGCTTTTTAGTCATATTTCTATTAGAACATCTATTTAACTTCTACCTATCTAATAATCGACCAACGGCAGAACAAGGCAACTGAAATCGCTGTTGTTTAATGTAAGCCATATTTTCCGTTCTTCAAGACTTATGATCGCTGCTTTACTTCGAAATTCCATTCTCCCAAAGTAGGTGCTAGTAGACAGGATGTTGAGAGCTATTGCAAGCCTTAAGTCTGCCACTGGCTGCCAGCTGCCATATCAGAAGCTGCCAACAGAGCAATATGCGGCCCTGCTCTTGCTTGGTGTCATGATGAATCACTGCCTCTCCTGCTCTGTTCATTGATTTTGCCTCCTCTCGCCGCCAAGGAACCTCCTTCCAGCCCTACTTCTTTCCTTGAATCACTCGACAGGCCGTCCGCTCCTTTCCCTCTCCCACCCTTACTACATCTTCCTCTCCTCGTCTCTCGTTTCTACTCTACTCCTCCATCTCCCAAGCTTCGTTACTCCAACGTCGTCTAACATAATTTGTCTTTCCAACCAGAAAAGGCCTTATTCTATCCACTCGACCGGTACGTAAGTGTCATTTCATTTTCTATTCTTTTGCTACTCATATCACTCACTGTTCTTCACTTGGTCTCGGGTGGCAGGTGCTACATCGCCCTCATCACGAACTGCGCTCGCGTCCTTTTGTTTACCTGGCTAATAGCCTGCTAATCTTACTAGCAGTCACTTTGATTATCAAGTATTACTCACTATCAATTTTGATTCAAGTACGTACACAGCTGCTTTCCAGTAGTCCCCAAGGCTGATTTCATCTCCAGTGGCGGACTTGATGGATTCCGAGAAGGGCTTTGCCCAAACTCCACAAATGTTCGGGGGTGGCGAGCGGAAAAGATCTAGATTCTTTGTCAAGCTGTTTTTTGCTCTTCTGAGTATCATATGTGCAATTCCCCTCATGTTTGGCATGGGTGTTGTTGGCGCAGTCTATGGTATGTTTTTGGAACTCACTGTTTCCACGGCTTGCGACAAACTGACCAAGTAATAGTCAATCTCTCTTACCAGAATCAGACAAACCGCGCAGCCGATCTCCGTCCAAGTGATCAGGTGCACAACATTGCTCGCCATCTCGAGAGCACCGGTGGTCTATACCCAATCTCGTATGTCCCCGACTCCCAGGTGCTTTTATGATGCCCGAGAAACCACTGACACCTAGAGGTAGGACTAAGACGGCTCTATCTACAATCTATGGTGTCAGCTACACCTCGAATGCTGATGTGGTCACCGAGGTTGCAACCGTTACTGGAACTCGCTATGTCACTGTGCCTGGTGAAGCCCTGTCTGTTTCTTTCGCCACACGGGAGAGCACTATCGAATACTGTGAGGTTCAGATCGTGACCATGACCAAGAGCTACACGGTCACTGTACCTAACGACAAGATCTCCCAGGGCTCATCGGGCGATGCTGTTGGAGCCACCGTGACCGGCAACCCAGAGACTGTGACCGAGAACGAGACTGATTTCTCTCTCACCAGTGGTCCATCCGATGCAACCATCACCGGTAACCCAGAGACTGTCACTGAGAACGAGACTGATTTCTCTCTCACCAGTGGTCCATCCGATGCAACCATCACCGGTAACCCACAGACTGTGACTGAGAGCAAAACCGACTTTTCTCTCACTCTTGGTTCATCTGATGCCCTCACCAGCTCCAGTCCTGAGACCACCGCGAACACTTTCGGGGTATCCTCGCCCCTCCCCAAACCGCACACAACTATTACCATTCAAAGTCTCTATCCACCTCGGGAAGGTCTGAGCACTATCACCCAGTACACCACTGTTGCGAAGACCATCACTGCTCCCGACTCATTCATCACTGTCACTTTGACTAGCAAATGCCCTGAATGTTCACCCACCGTGTCCGTTTCTCCTACCAGTAGCACCACAACGACTGTTTACGAAACTGCTGGTGTGCCCCCAACCTCTACAACAACGATCATGGTTCCGCCTCCTGCTTACCCACCTTACCCAACCGCCAACAATACCTTACTCCCAGGTCCATCCGGTAGCGTTACTGTTGTGCCTACTGTGTCTACTCCGCCTCCTGTTGTCGTCTCAGGAGGCACCAAGAAGCCCGAGCCTCGTGGGTGGGGAGGTACCAGCGGAACCACTAATCTTACCTGCACCGTTATGCTGGTTGCCATTATCATGTTTGCGCTCTGAGCTTTGACGGGGCCATCGGCGCATATGTTGTCCATTTGAGAAAACGTGATTAAGGAAAGGAATGGCAAGAAAGCACTTGCAAGACTTGCAAGGGACACGTTAGGAGGATTGGAGTTTCAGGGGTCAGAACTGGCATTGGACTTGGTATCCAAACTGGAAATGGAATCGAGATGATCTGTAAATCTGCTCTTGGCTTGCGCTATGGTGCGTACCTAGGTAATGAATAAGGGGACGCCGGGAACCACCTTAGGTATAGATTAAAAAGTTCAATATCGCAGCATGGGTAACTTTAATTCGGCACCGAATTCTTGATGTTGATGTTGCTTGAGGTTTGTTAAACATCTCAAAGTTTCATGTAGGCTATGACTGTATTTAAGAAGATGCGTCTGTCGAAATCAAACTTGCGAGATGCTACACGGTGCAGTGGTGAAAATATGAGAATCTCGTATCCATAATCCTTTCCCAACGCCTTGCCCCATCGATACAGAACCAATATCCCCAGACGCCGTGTTTGCCTGTCGATTATTCTATCTTGCAGGGCCTCGGCTCGCCCGAGCCTTCCAGGCATTCTTGATTTCCCCAGCTGCTCTGTACAGGTCCTTTTCCGAAACCCGATCCTCGATGCTTTGGAGCACACTCTTAGTTGTGCTGATGTGGTTGGCCTCGTTCTTATCGTCACGGAAGCGCACAATACGCCACCGACCATGCTCGTCGATGTTACATTCGACCACTCGCCAGTTGAGCGGATCGCTGAGCGACTTGAGAGTCTCCCACTCCTCCTCGGAGATGAAGACGCTGTTGAAATACTCGTACTTTTCAGGGCCGCTGCCCCCGGCATAGACGTACAGATCAGCCTTGGGGACGCTGTCATAATCAATGAATGGCTCAGTGATACCTTCGCGGCGCTCCTCGTCGCTGGGCTCAACTTCCACAAAGTCCAGGGACAGGCGGCAATCTACAGTGTTCTCCTCTGGCGGCTTCCATTTCAATATGTGGTTGTCGGTGCCGTGTTTGTAAGCAGTGGTGCGACAGGTGAAGATGAGACCGTCGTTACCGTGCTTTAGCTTGGGGAGGATATCTCTGAACATCATATCGATGGCGTAGGCAAACTGGGGTTTCTTCATCTCCACGTAGAAGGGCTGGAACTCTAGTTCCTGAGGGTATTCCTGATAAAGCTTCTTGTAGGGGCGATAGAATCGTTGATCGAAATATGCGAGCCGCTTGTCGAGCGTTCGTTCCATGAGCAGGGCACCATCCAGCACCAGACAGTCAAAGACCAGAAACATGGGGACGCGCTTCCCGTCGGGGCCTGTGTCCCAAACCAGTTCACCGTCGATCAACGTGTTCGTGTGGAATGCTTCCGGGGAGTTCTCGAGAGGGAAGTGCAGGCTCCTGTTCGTGATGAACCAAAAGTCGTTTTTGCGATCGATTAGGTAGTGAGCCTCGTTTCCATTCTCGTCTGTTGTCGAATAGAGGAGATATCTGATACCGTCGGACTTTTCGACTACGTAGTAACTACAATGCCGCCGTTAGCTGTTGGTCCTAGGTAACGAGATAGCGTTCCATGTCAATCTTACTCGTGCTGAGCGAGCTCCTCGAGATGCTGACGGGCGAAGCTTACGGGCTGCGCGCCGGGAAAGCCAGTAGCAGACCTGTTGAGAAGGTTTGCGACCTCCTTGCGCATTTCGTGGAGCAGTTGTCCTTGAGCCTTGACGCCTGGCTCCGCGATAGAGGCGATGGGCCCATCTTGTTGGGCCATCGCGATGACTGTGGTGAGGATGCACTGGCGGAGGTTTGATTGTTGTTGCGACAATGAAGCTACTGTCCTTTATGATAAATGCTTATCGATAAGGAACACTTAACAAGATCGCATACTATACCTACCGGCACCTCATTGTGCTCTCAACCTCTAATTGAGGTCCTCTTTGGGAGATAGGATCTCTTTGAGAGTATTTGAGAATTTCCATTTTCATTTTAATCATCATTATATCTAAAAAAGGTAAAGAAAAAAAAAGATTTTTGCTCTTTTCTGTTTGTCTACCTATGTAGTGTTCTTGTGAGAGGAATGGAGATTTGACCTTCAACTAGCATATAACAAGTTGAGTGAGGTAGGCTGCCATTTAGGCTATACCTAACCATATATATACTAGATTTCATTAAAGCACATTTTTCTTCTTCTTCAGAGCCAACTTGCAATGTTTGCTTGTAAGGTCTGCATTCCTGTGGCACTTGTACGGTTTTCAGTGTCAGACTTTTGGCTGTCCTGGCAAGACCAACAATTCATCAGAATAAGACAACACGAAATTCACAGGATTGCCCAACTTCACGATAAATTATAAGTAATACAAGCGTCAGTTCAGGACCGCAGTAGAGAAGAAGCCAACGAATTATGTGGGAATATTATTCCTCTCTTCTTATCATCTACGGCTTTCGAACCATCCCATCAGGCACGCAAAACAACAGAATACAACATGTTTAGGACTCATCAATCTTCTCTACCTCTGCTCGAGCTTCCTCCCATTGTTGCTTACTTTTCTTGGCCCACTCGATCTGGCTCTGGGCGTAGGCGAGCTTGTGGATGTTAGCGATTATTCAAGACTGAGCTCATAAACTCACCATGTAGCGTCGCAAATCGTCCTCCTTGTCCTTTTGGAATCGCTTCATATCCTTTAGAACACTCGCGCTGGCTTCTTTGACATCGCGTTCCGAGATAACCTGGGCTTGTTCTAACTGACCGATGCTCTCTCTCGTCTTTCCAATCAAATCGCGGCGTGTCCTCTCTGGATCGACGTCAACGACTCCTTGTACTGCATGTCGGATGGGTCCAAAGATCTTGTTCGTTATCGAGTTCCCACTGGGCATCTTCTTATGAGACGGCGCACTGGTACTCCTTTCGGGTAGCCCCTGGCTGGCTGAAGGTGTGTGCGAGGAAAAGTCTCCATGGGTCCCAGGAAAGTCAGAGTCGATGGACTCGGTGTCGTCCTGGCCACCATCACGCCGCTGATGAGAGGACGGCTCCTTAAGGCTCGTCGATCGCTTTGGTGGTGGTGATATTTGCTGACTGCTGGAGAGGTAATTCTCAATCCTTCGAGCCTCGGCTTCACTCTGCTCTAGTTGGTCGAGCAGCGCTCGCTTCTTGTTCAGCTCTTCGCTAGTCAAGTCTTGCTGCACACGCTTAAGCACACGATACTTTAGTACACTTCGAACAACACCCGCAAATTGCGCATGCTCACGCATGGGTTCGGCAAAGCTAGCGCCTAGGGAACCTGAGAGCTCCTCTGTGGCGATATATGAAAGATCAGCTGCCTGGCCTATTCGCTCAATGGCCGGTCCGAGTGACGGTGCCTGCTCTGAAACCGCAAAGGCGTTGTAGACGGATCCTAGCTCACAGAGATCGGCCGCCAATGAGGAGAGGTGACTGAGGGTTCGTCTGTTCACCTTTTCCATTGGGCCAGTAAGAAGCTGTTCGAGTTCTTTGATCGAGGACTCGTATGAGATGAAATAAGGGTCCAGCTCCTGTTCGCCCAGATTGTGACCCTCAGGTGGAAACCGGCCAAAGGCGTGAGGCCCTGCTTGTATGTGACCCGAGCTATTATCATGATTGGTACCGGCCACCGTCTTGAGCTTTGCCGATGCTGCCGGGATTGGCAAGTAGCTGTGCGCGGGAGTTGGGTTTGCGGGATCCAGCGGAGGCGCTTTCAAGATCGACTTGGGAATTGACGACACGGGATGGGAGTGCAAAACCTCGCTCTATTATGCAGTTAGTAGTGGCATCTGCGCTTTCAGAGACATGACATACCCAGCTAGCATTAGGGTCCAGGAATCGCCACCAAACTCCATCTGTTCGGATTTCGTCCATTCGGCGGCAGCGATTTAAGAAGACCGCCAGCATGCGCTTTCGGAGATCAATGATTTGCTGGTCCTGCTTTGCATTCGTCGGGTTCGCAGCATAATCAGCCATTGTGTGCTTCTCAGGGATGGGAGGAACAATTAAGGTAGGGTGAAGGCGAGTAAGGGCATCGCGCAGAGAAGCAAACTCTGAATATCGGCGGCGCACTTCAAGATCCTGTCACGTAGTCGTCAGTGAAATACCTCGGAAGACCAGCAGTAGATGGACGTACGCCAGTCTTAATAGTGTACACGATATATCTACCGCCGCTCTCTAGACTCTTGCCAGCATCCGTGATGACTATAGATAATTTGGGGTTCTCATATAGGATCTGCTCGATGCGACTGTCGTAACCACCAGGCTTGCGCTTGGGGCCGGTATCTTGCGCCGAGTCCCCATCGTCATCATCACCGCCGTGGCCAAACTGGCCATGCTCATCATCGCTACCGGATGTTGGTGTTTGAGGTGGCTCGAACGATTGGTCTGAGAGAAAATCGTAAGTATCATTGATCGCTTCCTCGTCCTCTGACATAATTGAATAAACCATCTCAGCGACGGGTTGGGAATGTTGTCTAGTGAAATGGTATGGGTAATCGACGTACAATTACGAGTTGACGGGGAAGTCGGATTGACAGACGATGACTGCGAGTCCCGCCTGTCAAAGCTGGTGCCGTACGGGTTATTGTCCTCGTCATTCCACATTCTGACGACTTGCTGAGTGCAACCGCGAGAGGTGCTGCGGAAAGAGGTACTCAATACAACTCAAGGTGGTCTATTTCGCGCGTTTAAGCCGGGAGCCTGGACAGAAAGAAGCTGGTAGGCTGCGGGTGAAGGACGAGAGCTTCGAGCGCAAGGTAGATCGTAGCTAGCGGGGGAGGGGCAAGCATGGGTTGAATGAAGCGATACGATACGATGGTTCATGCGCTGGAGCTGACTAGGTACCTTAGGTACATTCAGACCTATTGTTCCTGGTCGTGGAGTAGAAATAAGGTAAGCAGAGCAGGTATGAGAAGGAGCCCAGGTCAAGATAGATGTCGCGGTCGGTCGGCGGTGGAAGTGAGGTTAGTGCCTACCCAAGGTACTACATGTGAGGCAAGGTAATGAAGGGAATAGGATGACGTTGAATGGGGCTGGGCCGAGTTGGCTATGGCTGAAGTTGGCCTGGTGAGGTACTATACCTAAAGTGCCTGCCTACCTACCTAGGGTAGGTAGGTTACCCGCTGTTGGGCTGGACAGGTAGGCGACAGGGGGGTTTGAGAGAACGAGTCTCATACTTTGTTCTACCTGTTGTGGAACCTTTCTAATAATGGCCACACGAGTCAAATGGGTATTGACATGAACTCCATCAGTCAACATTAAGTACTAACCTAAACAAGTGCTTTATGTACAAATGTCAATTTTCTGCTCTGATTTTCTACTAGATAAGCCACGCTCAAAGGTGACAAAATGTTGTCTCATACTCGCGTCTTTCGCGTGAGCCCTCTCTTGATTTTCTCCCTCCCCAGTCACTCCGCGTTCAAGATCTACCTAGGTACCTATCTACGGCAAGTATCCTTGTCACGAAAACATAACTTGATGCCTCTATCCAACAGAGCCTTCTTAAGAGGTACCTCCGCGACCACCGACCCCCCACTGTGCTTGCGCCTCGGCAATCGAGGTGTCAATCTCGGGCAGCTTACGTCCTCTGCCAGTGGGTGCGGCCATGAACTTGATCTCAACAAGGTACCGAAGATACCTACCGATATCCTCGCGAGAAATGCCATCTCCTGCGCTATCGTCAATGTCTGTCCAGCGGTCTGCATCGGCCCTTAGAACAGCCACAGCGTTCCTATCATCTAGCTCAGGAGCACGAGTAGTGCTCGGGAGATTTGCAGTAGCCATATGGAATAGCGGCATCAATGCGTTTTGCTCCTGGTCCTTCTCCACGGCGCCGGCCGAGACAAACTCCTCCAGCTGCGACTTCCAGATGTCATAGTCGACCTCGGGTACTTCGTAGCCGTAGTAACTTAGCGCAGAGAGGAGCTCGTTCATCCGCAGACGGGGGTGAGCAGTAACGTGCACCACGTTCATGCCAGGGAGAGGGTTCAGCGTCGAAGCGACAACAACGCGTGCGACGTGATCGACAGGGACAGCATTGACAGAGTTGATGATGCGAGGACGAGCACCAAGCTGGCAACAGCCTTTCAAGAGGCGTACGATCCAATCGTCGGTGTTCGAGACACCGCTGTTGCGGCTGCCAAGGATGTAGCCTGGTCGGACGATTGCACCGCGGAGACCTCGGCGTCCAGCCTCGCGGACGAGTTGCTCAGACACCCACTTGGTCTGCCCGTAGCCGGTTCCTAGGCCGGTGCGGTTGGGGAGCAAGTCATCGGACTCAAGGACAGCGCCTCGGCCGGTAGCTGTCTGGGCGTCGGACAGGTTGATATAGTAGTCGGTATCGAGGGTCGAAGTTGAGGAAACGAATGAGAAAAGCTTGGGCTTGCCCTCATTACACAGCTTCATAGCGTCGATAGTAGATAGAACATTCGGTCCCATCATCTGTTCGTAACGAGCGATCCAGTGGACGTACGCAGCGTTGTGGATAAATGCATCAGCTGTATCAGCGACATGCTTCCAGCTAGCATCGTCAAGGCCAAGACGAGGCTTAGAGAGATCACCAATAACGCAGGAGATCCTATCAGCCCAAGAGTCTTGCCAGAGACCGTAGCCCTTGAGGGATCTTACAAGACGCTCCTTTGCAAACTTAAGGTCCTTGGCTCCCCGGATACAAGCGATCAGCTTGGTGTTCTTTCTGTCCAGTATATCCTTGGCTAGGTATGCGCCGAGAAAGCCAGTAGCCCCGGTAAGAAAGAAAGTGGCGCCGTTGAAAGGGCTCAGAGCATCGGGGTCCGCGCTTTGGTACTTCGCGTCTAGAGTATTGGTAAGCTCATCGAGAGAGTCAGAGTAAACATTATCGTTAGAATGGTCGACAGTGACAGCCTGGCCGCTGCGAAGACTGTCGACTGCGCTGCCCAGGCCGCGAATCGTGGGGTTTGTATAGAGAACACCGATGGTGACATCGACACGCAGTTCCTTGCGAATATCAAGTAACAGTTGCTGGGCAAGAAGACTGTGGCCACCGCAGTCGAAGAAACTTGAGTCCGGCCTGGAAATCGAGGGTCAGTATTCAGAGGCAGGTATGTAAACTATTACTAGAATCGTACCTGACCATCTTGGCGTTCAAACCCGGGATTAGGGTCGACCATTGTGTCGCAATAGTCTTCTCAGTCTCCGATAGGCTCTCCCAGCTCTTCAAATCTTCTTCCGAGGCATCCTCTGTCATGAGAGAGGCATCGGGGAAAGGAAGATTAGGGGAGTCAACCTTTCCGTTCGGGTTCAGAGGCAGCTTCTGCAACACAATATAGATCGAAGGAACGGAGTGCGCCGGTAAACGAGACTTGAGGTGGTCTCGCACCTCAGCTTGGATACGGCGGAACCTCTTGAGGTAGACAGTACAGGGTCCCATTTCTACACCCTCTTCGTCAATATCCTGGAGGCCCTGAGTCTCAAGCCAACGCTTCCATTCAGCGATCTCAGGCACGATGTAGCTGACAAGTGTCGGCTCCTCATTACGATCTCTTCGAACCAGTGTCTTGCAGTCTCGGATCAGAGGACTACCGCCAAGGTTCGCATCAATCTCGTTGAGTTCAATGCGGAATCCACGGATCTGTCAGAGTTAGCTTTGTGTAAACGCACAATGGAATCAATCATTGACCACCTTAACTTGTGAGTCCATACGGCCCAGGACACGCACAGCCCCATCTGGTCGATATTCTCCAAGGTCACCTGTGACGTAAAGTCTGTCTCGTGGCCCCTTGTAGTACTTGCGCCAAGCTTCGCCCTTATCGTTGGCCTTGTTTGCCTCCGCCCACTTCTTGTTATCAACGAACCAGTTATCGATGAACTTCTCCTTGTTCTTCTCGGGATCGTTAAGGTATCCTTCGGCGAGACCAGCAGCGCGGATATAGATCTCTCCAACCACGCCGATCGGACAGATCTTGGTGTGATCTTCTCGATCCACAACCAATACCTGGACACCTTTCATGCCCCAGCCAGCGGGGATAGAGTCGCCGAGTGAGTCCAGGGCGGAAGGGACCTCCAGGGCGGAAGGGACCTCAAAGTAGGATACAGCGCGAGAAGTTTCTGTGGTTCCGTACATGTTGATGATGGTGCAGGCGGGACCTAGCTGACGAAGACTCCTGCAGTCGCGAGTAGTGAGGACATCACCAACGAAGAAGACCTGGCGCAGACTGGGAAACTGCGCTGTGGCGCCACCAACCAGAATCTGTCCCATGGCAGGCGTAAGGTGAGTTGTCGTTGGTGACCACTTTCTCATCCATTCGCTCAGTCTTACGTGCTGGATATCCTCCTTGGCGGGCAGGATTAGGCTTGCGCCCAAGGCCAGAGGCGTCATGATATCTGAGGCCAGAGTTAGCCACAGCTGTTCAACACACAGTGAATGAATCCCGCACCTCGCTGGATTGGGTCATGGGCAATTCCGGAAAGGCAGGCGAATACGCTGTTTGATGAGAGGCCGAACCTCTCAGCCATCCACGGGAAATACTTTGCTAGACTGTAATGACGGCCAAGCACGCCCCTATTAAACGTTAACAAATGTTCAGGCTCTTAGCAAGCTGGAGTAGCGAGAAATGAAGAACTCGTACTTGGGCAATCCTTGCGTTCCGCTCGTGAACGACAGCGTACAGTTAGAGTCGGGTCCAATGAGCACATCGGGAGGTGTTGAGGCCCTCTCCTTTACGTTGGCGAAGATATCAACACTGTCTTCGCCCGCAATCAACTCGCCATTGTCGGTGAAGCGCAGGTCTGGGATCTTGATTTTGATGGCAAGTTCATCATCAATGCACTTTTGGACGAGAGGAGCAAGAGGCCTGTGTCAATACGTTAATCAGGGGGGAGCTTGCGGGTCATTCAGAGTTGAGGTTGGCCTTACCCGCTCTCCTCCGTAGCCTTGCGAATGGAGATGAGCGCCTTGGGCTTAGAAACTTGAAGATAGACTGGTATGGTACGTTAGTTGGTGCTGATTTTCGTTCCCGTCCAGTGTATACCATACTTTGTTGTCTCTGCGGGGGGTACTGAGGATCAAGGACAGTGACAATAGCACCAGCAGCCAGCGTTCCCATGTATGCACAGACCAATTCAACTGAGCGGTGCGCAAAGATCATGACTACATCTCCATTCTGGATGCCGGAGTCGCGTAAATAATTTGCGATGTTGTTACTCGCTTCATCAATTTGGCGGTAGGTATAGGTTCTTGTTGGCGCCCTGCATGTCTTGTTAGCAACTGATGCAATTACGACCATGTTTCAATGCAAGGGGACATCATCAACCCACTTCGAGGTCACAGTCTCTGTCACACAAAGCCTGTCAGGGTGAGCCACGGCATTCTTGTGGAATATCTCATGAATGCCTCCAATGTAGCCTCCCCAGTCGAGATCTTCAGTAGGATCAGGTAGCGACATTATGCCGGCTGAACTTGTACACAATGCAGGGAAAACTCCTGGCAGTTACAGCCAATGAATGAATGATGCGAAAGATTTGAGAGGCCAAGGGCGTTGATAAATCTAGACTCTCGATATGTCGACCCTAGATGTAACAGAGCGATGGTCTGAGGCCATTTAAGAATGAATGAATATGGCTTGTGGCTTCCAATGCGTCACACAGGAAATTTCTATGGAGCTCCGAGAGCGGAGGGTCAGTATAGGGTAGGGTAGGTAGTTGATATGCAGGTGGGCACGTGACCTTATGCCGCATGTTTGGACGTCGCTTTTCATACCTACTAACCTTACCATAGTAGGTATACAAATGCCTAGTGGTTTTTACCCTGATGACAAAAAGACTGTGTTATTACTCCAAGTCTACTAAAACTTGAGACTAGTTTCCTTTGACTCCTTGTTTTATCGGAGAACGGGCCAACAGCATAGGAAATGGAAAGTGGAAAGTTGGCTACCTGTGACCTCCACGGAGCCTGGCTGGTCCAGGCCGAGTTCGGGTGTGTGTTGACTGTTACATTGGCTCAATTATACACCAACAATCTTGTTACTGATGACCTTGTAACCGTCAACACATCCCTGCAAAGAGATCTAGTATCTCCGAACTAGATCCCTTGGTTCAATACCTTGCAATTCTACTCTTTTAAGCAACCGACGTGTTGTGTTCAAGTCTCAAGCGCATGGCTAGTAGATGCCACCCCCTTGATGAGTGGGCTGAGGTGTTGAAGGGCCAGTCGTGCCTTCAGTCACGTAGTTTGCATTGGTATATCTAAGCCAATACATCAGCATCAATCAGAACCAAGAATGTGAACCCATAAACTGACGTGCTGTCCCAATTTCTTCTGTGCATCTCACGGCCTCGGTGGTGCTGCTCACACTCAGGATGATATGTCCTAACGGGTGACTGACGGGACAATGTCGACGTAGAAGCACGAGATTGTCGCCTGATGGTATGTTAGTATTATATGAATCTGATATACGAGCGTACCCTTACCCAGGTATCACAACTTCGAGTTGGCGAATATGCTGCCGAGTGTCCAGCACTTCAGACTTGGGAGTCGGTGGCCTTTCCATGGGTTTGAAAGGGGGTGTAAGAGGTAACATGGCCAAAGGGTTGTGATAATCTGACAGGTTGCTATCATTGGCGTTTGACAGATTTGTTTGCGCGCGCGACCTTTGCCCGTCGGATGCATTCTGATGAGTATGCGGTAGTTGCACATTGGAGATTAGATCATAATCATCACTATGAACTGTCGCTGCGGCAGAGCCCGGCGACCGGATTCTATCACTGCCAGCTGTGCCGCTCCTGTCACTTCCCCGAGAGTGATCCGAGGGACCACTATCGTGCCCAAGGTCTTGACTGGTCCGAGGTACTTTATGAGCCTCTGTTTGTTTATCCGTAGATCTGTATGCGTTCGATTCCCGATGAGAGCCTTCAAGCCGAGACTGTGCCATGGTAGGAGTTCCGGGAACTGATTCGCTACCCACGGTCGAAGCTCTTCCCAGAGGAAGCCCAAATACCTGACGGAGACGCTGACGCCATGAAGGATGCCGGGGGGGTAAACCGCTTGAAGACATAGAAGCTGGACAAAACCCAGAACGCTGTATTGGTCTGACTGGCTCATTCTGGCGAGTCCTGGATTGAAATACTGGCCGTGGTTCAACGTAAGTAGTTGGCTGAACAGGTAGAAACACTGGAATCTGCTGCTGAGGAATCACTGCCGAAGGGCCCTGAAGATGCGGGAGGGCAACTGGAGCGAGAGGGGGGTGATAGAGCACAGGCTGGTATGATACCTGCTGGCTTGGGAATCTCGGAACAGGAGGTAGTTGTACTAGTGAAACAGTTGGGACAAGGGCGAACGGGCGTCTTCTACGCCTCCGTTGGCGGCGGAGGACAATTTCCTGGTGAGCTGTCGTTATTCTTCCCAGGTAGTACATGTAGGCAAAGAGAAGAACGATCAAGATGACTGTAGCACTGGTGATGATACCTGCTTGTTCAGAGGTAGTCATGCAGTCCCAGCCCAAACACTTGTGACCTCGAACATAAAGGCTCAATATGTTGGACCAGGCGATGCCCGTCTGGTTCATAGGAGGAACGGGGGCCATAGCACAGAAGCTTTCCAGATTGTTTTATCTGCACCTAAGTGATAGATTAATTGAACCTCGCAAACTTGAGAGGATGAAGAAGTTGAGAGAAAGTCCTCCTAGGGGATGCGCGAGGACGGAGAAGATGATATCCTTCCCATGAGTTATTGACGGCATGAAGGAAGAAGAGAAATGAGGCTAGATACCTCGAATCAAAAACATATCTGAATCTCCAGGAGGGATATGAATTTCCGAGCTTGAGAACTTATCGTTGTAAAGTTGGCTGACACTGTCTGCCAGCTGCCCAGTGTTCACCCGGCTACCACACCGGGCCTGTGAGCGATATAAGTAACACGACTACCTTACCTATCTATATAGAAACATTCGTGCTTGAAACTGGAAGAAGAGAGCCTGGAGCTATTAGGGGGACTGTGATGCCGCACATACCTAACGATATAGTGATGCTCGAGAAGTACGAACAGTGGGAAATACACTGCGTAGGAATATGCTCTGTTCTAGCTAATGTAGTCTATGAGCCTAGGAAAAACGAGCACACAGGACATTGATAAGAGCCATGAGATAAAATACAGAACAACCAGTAATATAGAAACTCATATGGGAAAGTAGCTACCGCCTTTATTTGTTCTAATTATTATACCCGGATATAGTAAAGCACTGTTATATAGGTAGTCTATGAAGGCATAAACGGTCCTATTTGCAGCAAACCGAGTAGCAACATATACATACAATGCCTTAGTACTGCTATTAGCCCAAGCTTTTTTTTAGATTTAAATTTATTATTAAAGAGCCTGACTGTCATAGGTTGTGGTCACCTCAAGCTGGAGATTTCGCCGTGTAAGTCATTGGCCAATCAGCGAGTGGATCTCGTCCCACTAATATGCACCGAAGTACGTACCGCATTGCAAGACCTAGGCTGTCTGGGTGCAGCTTCTCAGATTCTCCTTCATTCAGCGATGCAACAAGACCAAGTTGAAACGTCCAAAACTTCATACGGCATCATCACAACCCGCCTTCCTCTCCTCCGCGTAGATAATATCACACAGGCTCGCTCAGATTCTGCGATTGATTATGTCACTTGGTCTTTGAACCACTCGATGAGCTGATCCTCCTTTAACTCGAGGCGCATTGCTACCAGCTCCAAGCGACGCGTTCCTCGAACCAACTTTTTTGCTCCCGAACGAACAACACCACTCTTTTACCCTCACGCCATTCTTTATCCACAATGTCCTCTTCGCAAACAGCCGCGGCGAATGGTGTCAATGGCGGAACACGGTCCGCGCCGGCCAGTACCCGATTTACTGACATCCCTTCCGCCATCGACATCCCCGTCCAAGGTGACCAGGAAGATGAGGCTGTTGAAATCGACCTCGAGGACCTCGTCGATGACCCTACCGAACTCTGTACGCTCTTCGAGAACGAGCGCGCCGCCAAAACGTACTGGATGACCGTCGCTCTAGCTTATGCCAAACAACACAAGATCGACCATGCCATCGAGATGCTCCAGCGAGGCGGTAGCGCCATCCAAAGCAACAGTTCGAACCCGCGCGATAAAGTCAGCATGATCTGTTGTCTATGTTGGATGTATCTGTGGAAGAGCAGAGAGGCTCCCCGTGTCGCACCCGAGGGCACCTCTGTGTCTGAGGCCAAGACAAAGGAGTTTTATCTTCAGCTCGCGACATCCTCCCTCAACGATGCCGCTCGACTCAACCCATCGTTTCCTCCCATCTTTCTCGCCCGCGGCGTTCTCCTTCTTCTACGAGCCTCTTTGCAGGCACCGTCCAAAACTACTGGAGGCATCGGTTCCGAGAAGCACGAGCTCCTTAAGACTGCCGTGAAGTCCTTTGACGATGCCCTACGAGTCTCCCAGGGAAAAAACATGCTTGCACTGATGGGAAAAGCTCGTGCTTTATTTTCAATGCACAAGTACCCGGAGTCGCTCACAATTTACCAGGATGTTCTGCAAAAGATGCCTGACTTGGTTGACCCGGATCCCCGAATTGGTATTGGCTGCTGTTTCTGGCAGCTTGGCTTCAAGGATGACGCCAAGATGGCCTGGGAGAGGTGCATTGAAATTAACCCTGATTCAAAGGTTGCCAACATTCTCCTCGGTCTCTACTACCTGGATGCGAGCGGTCATGTACCAGTAAACAGCGACGAATTCCTGAAGCTCTACAAGAAGGCCATGACGGAATACACACAAAAGTCTTTCAAACTTGACAAAAACCTCCCCCTTACCTGCTCGACTTTTGCCGGCTACTTCTTGTCTCGAAAGTCGTGGGACAATGCCGACAAGCTGGCGCACAAAGCTATTCAATATACAGACGTCAATGCCATTGCCAGTGATGGTTGGTACATGCTTGCGAGAAAAGAGCATTATGACGGTGATACGGAGCGTGCGACGGATTACTATCGCCGTGCCGATGAAGCTCGCGGAGGCACTGAGACGGGCTACCTTCCTGCTAAATTTGGTGTTGCTCAGCTCTCAGTTTTGAAAAACGACCTGGGAGAAGCCAAGCTTCGTTTGGAAAAGATGATTCAACAGTCCAAGAACCATGAGGCCATGATTCTCCTGGGCACACTGTACGCCGAGGAAGTCTTCGCTAACCAGGTTAGCGACAACAAGGAGGACAAGTCTGCTGAACTCAAGAAAGCAACCGCTCTTCTTGAGGGCGTACGGAATGCCTGGAAGGACCCGAAGAAGGCACTATCTCCGGATGCCTCAGTTCTCCTCAACTTGGCACGCCTGTACGAGACGGATCACCCTGACAAGGCTTTGCAATGCTTGCAACAAGTTGAGCAACTGGAATTGGACCAGGTCCCGGCATCTGAAAACCCTGAAGATGTTACTGATGAGGCCGAGATCAAGGCTGCGCTTCGCAAGTCGCTGCCCCCTCAATTGCTTAATAACATCGGCTGTTTCCACTCACAAGCTGAGAAACATGAGCTTGCGAGTGACCTGTTTGAGGCCGCGCTAGGTGCTTGCATGAAAATTGGCGAGAAGGACCCTGAGATGGACACAGATGCCCTGGTATCCACAATCAGCTTCAACTTGGCTCGAAGCTACGAATCCAGAGGTCTCACAGACAAGGCTGTCGAGGTGTACGAAAGTCTCTTGGCTCGCCACGATGATTACACGGATGCTCGCGCCAGACTTGCCTACATCAAACTCAGGAAGAACCCAAACAAGGAAGGGCCCGACGCTGTCGCCAAGTTGTACCAGGAGAACAATACCGACTTGGAGGTCCGGGCCTTGTACGGCTGGTATCTGGGCCGAGTTGGCTCAAGGAAACGCCCAGCCAACCTGGGCGAGGACAACGAGTTCCGCCATTTCAAGCATACGCTCCAAAATTATGACAAACATGATAGACACGCTCTCGTGGGCATGGGTAATCTGTATCTCATGCAGGCACGAGAGATGCGCCGTGAATCGGACTCGGAAAAACAAAAACGAAGTGCAACCTACGGCAAGGCTGTTGAGTTTTTTGACAAGGCACTGTCGCTGGATCCAAAGAACGCTTATGCTGCGCAGGGTGTGGCCATCGCTCTTGTCGAGGACAAGAAGGATTATAAGGCGGCACTTGGGATTTTCAACAAGGTCCGAGAAACTATCAGGGACTCCCACCTCTATGTTAACCTGGGACACATATATGCTGAGCTCAGACAATACTCCAAGGCCATTGAGCACTATGAGATTGCGCTTTCCAAAGATGGCAAGGCCAACGATGCAACAATCCTCGCTTGTTTGGGTCGAACATGGTTGAATCGTGGGCGGACCGAACGTGATGTGGATGCACACATTAAGGCGCTTGAGTGTGCGCAGAAGGTCAGTGGCCCCCTCCCATACGTCGTTGTACTTTGTACATATGCTTAGTCCTAATCAATAGGCTCTCGAGGTTGCTCCTGAACAGATGCATTACAAGTTCAACGTGGCTTTCGTGCAAATCCAGCTTGTTACAATGGTCCAAGGATTACCAGAGAACAAGCGTTCGACAGAGCAGCTCGAAAAGGCCGCCGCGGGCCTTGAGGCTGCCATCGCATCACTGGATGAGATCGCGACGCATCCTCAAACCCCTTACCCTAAGCACGATGTCGAGCAGCGTGCGAACATGGCCCGCAACACCTTGCGTAAACAGCTTGAACGAGCCATCGGTAAGCAGAAAGAGTGGGAGGAGAAGAATAAGGAGAAAATACAGGCAGCCAAAGAGCTACGAGAGGCCGAGCTCCGTCGACGTGAAGAAACTCGTCAAAAGGCTTTGGAAGCAGAACGGGAGCGACAGGAAAAGATAAGGAAAGAACGTGAAGAGATTGCTGCGCAAGATAAGGCTCTGGCTGAAAAGCGCGCCGAAGAGGAACGGGCTCGCGCCGAGGCCGAAATGACGACTGATAGCGAGACGGGAGAGAAGATAAAACGAAAGCGGAAGACCGCTCCAAAGACCTCGGGAGAATCAAAGCCCAAGAGATCAGGAGGAAAGAAGAAGAAGAAGAGTGACCGTCAAGACGATGAGTCTGAGGAAGAAGAGGAACGTACAAAGAAGCGCCGTCGTCTGACGAAGAAAGAATCATCCAAGTTCAAGTCGGCCGAGATTGTTGTTGACAGCGACGAAGAGAACGAGAACGAAGACGATGAACTCGAGCGTGCTGAGAGAAACATCGATCGCGAAGAGACTCCTCTGTCTGAGGCCGAGGAAAAGGTTGCCGAGAATGACAAGATGGAGGTCGACGACGGCGCCAACCAGGAAGGCGAAGACGATGACGAGGAGGAGATCGCTCCGCGCCAACAGCACAAGCGAGCTCGTCGTGGACGTGTCGTTGACAGTGACGAAGAGGACAATGTGGATGGGGATGCACCTGCGCAAGCTTCTGGTGATGAGTCTCGTCTTGTTGCAGATACCAGCATGGCCGACGCAGACGAAGACGAGTAAAAGGGACCAAAAGTTGATAATTAAGAATGTTACATTGCTAATATAAGCTGAGAAAGGATTCCCTCCGGTTGAGATTAT